TGGTAGATGTCAGTCCTTCAGAACCTACAAATGGATTTTTACCAAGTTCACAACTATCTCATATTTAGAACCAGAACAAACATGAATAGTTCAGTCTTTCCTTTATACAGCTTGGGTCTTTGATCTTAGCCTTGTGATCAGCAAACAAAAGCCCATTCCTCAGGGTGTAGCTTCAAAAGGCTAGGTTTTCATCACCCCCTAGATATTTCCCACAAAAGCAACTTAACACTTTTTGGGCTCATCTACACTACCACACGGGGTCAATCTAAGATACGCAACTTCAGCTACGTGAATAGCGTAACTGAAGTCAACATACTTAGATTTACTTACTGGGGTGTCTTCACTGCGGTAAGTTGACAGCTGACAGTCTCCCGTTGACTTCGCTTGCGCTCCTCGTTCTGGTGGAGTACCGGAGTTGATGGGAGAGCACTCAGCGGTTGATTTATCGCATCTATATTAGACGCAATAAATCGACCCCTGTTGGATCGATCGCTGCCTGCCGATCTGGTCGGTAGTGCAGACAAGCCCTTAGTTCCAAAAGTCCATTCTTAGCTGCTACGTTGTTCAATATAGTCCTTTAAACCCCCCAGGTCTCACATCTTCCACCCTTGGAGGTTACATACAATACCAGCCCACAATAACATATAAACCATTCATTTAATACAATGGACCTCAAAGATACTTAAATTTAATTCACCAAGGTCTCCCAAAGATATTGCAGGAAGCTGTCCATTCCCATTGTATATAACAAACATTCAGCTCTAATAAGTTGTTACCATTATCAGTCAGTGCAATGTCTAGATTTTTCTAGTTAAACTAGACATTTGGTAAGTGCTACAAAAACAAATCCAAGAGCCAAATTAGTTGATGTATGAAAAAAATTATGGCTAATAAGCCTTTAAGCTGGCAACACATCTCTTTGTAGAGGGCTGGTTAACTCTGGTGAACTTCTTTGCTTTAGGTGGGATGTTTTCTTTTGCCAAAATTATTTTACGTGTGTATGTATTTGTCAATTTGAATATCAAGAAAGTACAGTTTAAAATATGTTCTTGGTACTTTCATAGCCTCAGACAGAGATTAAAAGTAAAGATACCAAATAGTCACTTCATTGCAATGAAAAGCAAAACATTCAGTCAACATTCAGCAGCATTTTAGTATACATAGTGTGCGTGTAAGGACAGATGTGTATGTGTGCCCATTTAAAAGTCACCTTACAACATTCATTTGCTAGTTTTATAGCCAGCAAATGGATTTCTCTGCAAATATCTCACTACTCCAATTCAGGATAGCTGTGAGAACCCATCATATTTTCAGGACAAATTAGAATGACATTTAATGTTGCATTATGTTCTAAAAACCCTTGCCCTTTTTCTGGTCGTATTCCCCATATGTAATGGCACCATTGTGTTTGTTGGGGTATGTAAAGTCTTCATTCAGTATTATACAGTGCATTTTAAGATTTCTTCCTGATACACCAAGCTGAGGAAGAACTTGTTAAAAAATCATTGCTATCTAACATGCTAAAATGTTGATCTACTGAGTCACCCTTAACATTACTTTACACACATTTCCAACTGCATAAAATGTGAGAGATGCTATTTCAATTCATTTTAATATTTATCCGCTTCAAGGGAGAATAAACAGCTTTACATTGAATGTACAAAGCCATTTTCTCTTTGGGATGTAATAAACAGTTTGATAACTCATTAGCTTCCTTCCCTACATGACCACTACCACTGTGAAGAACCAATTGGTTTTGTTCCCCTTTGTTTTGCACACTCACTTTAGAAACAAACACTATGCACGTGGCTTGTTGTGCACTGACTCCCCTCATATTGCTTCTCAAGGGTAGTGTATACTCTGTTTTTGTTGAAGTACTCCATGAACACTATGAACTAGTGAGATTATGGCATCATAAATCTGAGCAAGTGAGCATGGGATTTTTTAGGCAGATGCTTTGTTTTTGTTAATACCTATTTAAGACTAATTATTGACTAATATTTGGAGAAAAGTTTTTTGTTAAAAATTCAAACAAACTCTCCCTTCTTTTTCAACAGTGGGCTAAGAAAGCTCTTACTCCAATTCTTTGGTCCTCCAAAGAGTTCTCTACTCAAAACAGGGTAGACAAAATTTTATATTTGTAAAGTTAAAAAAAGTAGAACTTTTAAAAATCCCAATATTTCTGAGCCTTTTTCATATATCATAAAGAAGCAACAGAGGGTACAAGCCCAATTCTCTTCCCCTTGTAGGCCACCTTTAAAGTTCCTTTGCATCCCTCCTCCTCACCACACTCTTTTTATTAGGATTCTTGTTTATAGAAGGGCTTTTTATGATTTTGGCTATAAATCACAAACCAGTGCTATTTCTAAAGCGTTATCAGTACTACAGTGTAATGACTGCATGGCATCTCTCCAAGTCCTGCACCCACTGAATTCCAAGGCTGTAAACCACACCCTACTGCTCTGATTAGAGTCCTCTAAACTCACCTTTAATAAGTTCTCTCACAATGCAGAGTCCATAATAAATATAGAGGCAGGAGCTGCTGCACTCTAGAAATCAATATTTGTAATTAAAACACTGAATATTATAATAGCAAAGATAAAAGGTGGCTGTGGTATAACTGGAGCATTACCAGGGGAGTTTATTGTTTTTGTTTTTTGACAGTAGCACCTACTGTCTCCACTCAAGATCAGGGTCCCATTGTGCTAGGCACTGTACAAAAACATAGTAAGAGACAGACCTTGCCTTAAAACACTCATAGTTTAACTAGTATAGAAATGAATACTTCTTAGTTTGGTCTCTTCCCTGGTTTTCCATTTATTCAGACTATTTCCTGTCCATCGCCAAAGTTTCATTAGAAAATCCACAGTATTTTCAACCAAGTAATGTATCAGTACAGAAATGCAGATCCATTTGGATAAGCCTTAACCTAAAAAACTGAGTGCATCCTTGACCTGTCCACATCTTAAAACAAAGGGGAATAGATGGCTATCCACCAGGGAAGCATGTCTATATGTTACCAGGGAAACAAACAGCAAAAATAAAGGAACCCTTGGTGTCCTTGTCATTTAGATTTTTTTCAACTGGAAACAGGGCCCGTGTTAAAATAATGAAGACATTGTTCTGCCTTCAGGACTGTGTGCTGTCCTCACTGGATGACAGACATATCTTTCTCCCCATCATGTTGTCACTCATAAGGAGAGCCACCCAGGTATATATTCAGAGGAGAACCATTGATATTTTCTAATCCTGGAGCAGTGTGCAACACACCCATCTTCTAATGAACTCCAACCACCTCAAGCTGTGGTCATGGCAAATGTCTCATATTAAGCAGGGTCGAAGCTAATAAGTATTTTTGGACACTCGTAAAGAGGAGTTGGACTTAAACTGAATGCATGGTGGGGAGTAAGGATACAAAGAAACTTTAAAGGTGACCTGCAAAGGGAAGAAATTGGGCTTGTGCCCTCTTTTGCTTCTTTATGCTATATACAGCGATAGGTTTAAACTTTCAAAATAGTATAAGGAATTTTAGACAAATCTTCCATTAAAATTAATGGAAGATGTGTCTCTAAATCCCTCAGACTGCTTTGGAAAAAAAAATCAACCATAAGTCATTGCTGCTTTTTCTTTCCTATGTCATATCTGTTATATTAAACTTCTGTGTTGTCACCCATTTTTCTCAATGTAAAATGTTTTAATTAGCATCATAATTATTGTGGCCATTTTAGAATTAGGACTACTGGTTACATTGCCTTTTTCTTATCTCTAGATGTCTATTGAAATGTAATCGTTTTCATGTGTCTCCTTTGAACAATAGTGTGTACTAATCAGAAACAAAAACAGACAGCAAAAGGAAAGATTAAAAAAAAAAAAATCCTGCCTGTGAGAAACTGTGCAGGGTGTTAGCTGGAGCTGCCCCCAGAAACGATGATTTAGGGGTCAGGCCATGGAAGGCATCAAGGGAGATGAGAAATGAAAGGGGCTAAGATCCCTTTTTTCTTTGCACTGGTGGTGGCAGAATGCTACTGTCCCCAAAGGGCTCAAGGGGCCCCGATTTAGTCTTATCCCCAACCTATCCCTCATTTTATTGAATCTGGAGGTTTTAACAAGTGTTAAAGCGGGGGCGGGAGAGTATTTTGGGGGTTTGTGAAAGTAATTAGTATTGGTGGGAGTCGTCGAGGGGCTCCCAATGGACGAGTCTCTGCTTGGCAGGGGGCCCTGTTGTGCAGCTCTTGTGTCCTCCCTCTTTCATTGCTCCCCCTTCTCCTTCGTGCCCCGGAGAGCGCGGATTTCACTGTCGGGCTGTCCTGCGCGCTCCGCTGCTGTGGGCTACGGTCATTGGTCCCAATCGCCGTCGTCCCTCTGGCGAGCCGAGCCAGATCCCACTGGCCCGCTGGGGGGGTCTCCCTGTGCAGACGGGGGTTTGTGGCTGTTACGTTCTCCTTGAGCCCGTGGCAATGGCCCGGGGCCCTAGGCTCTGTCTGCCCCGAGTCTTAGCTTGCGGCTGCAGTGTGGCTCTGCGCGTACCTCCAACCCCGCCGCCGCTCCATGAATGAAGTGACTCAGGGCGCAGATGCCAGCCGCACAGCGACGCCAGCTGGGGTAGAAACAATGTAGCGAGGCGGGGTCACCGCGCAGGGCTCGCGATCGCCAGAGAACACCGCACGCGCCGCCTATTATTTATAATCCCTGTCTCCCGAGCCAGACCGCGCGCAAGCAGCAGCCTCGCTTTGGCGCGAGGCCTCAATTCCCATTGGACACCCACAGCGTTCCACTTCTTCGCACGCAGGGAACTAAGGACGCAAGCGACTAGACCACGCGCTCCCTTGTCTCGCGCTCTCCCCCAACAAAAGAGGAGGAGGAAGGGGGATTTGGCGTCGCGCGCTTTCCCGGGGGTTGACTGGTGGAGCGCGCTGGCTCTCACGCTCTCCCCCTACCGGCACACACACGCGCGCGCGTTCTGATTGGCCGCAGCCAACGTTCTTCGGAGACGGTTTAACTGCAGCAGCGAGGTTCAGTGAGAGGAAAACAAAACAAAGGAGCGTAGCGGCGCGGGCGCCGGGATGCCTCGGCCACCTCTCAGTCCCGAGGGGAGGAGACACGGGCCCGGCCCCCGGCTCCCCTGATGACCCTGGGCGCTGCAGCCGCCGCGGGGAAGACGCCCCTGAGCCTGGGGAGGGGGAAGGACCCCCCGGGCGCACGCAGAGCCGCCACCTGAGCGGGGCATTAGGGGCCACGGCCACTAGACCCTCCCCTCGCCCCAGCTGGCAGCGACGGAGGCTGCTCTTTCCCCGTGCCAAGCCAGCCCCCCACGGAGGGAGGGAAGGGGGGCCACAGCTGCGTGGAACCCGCGGGGGTCCGGCCTGGGCAGCGGAGCCGCCGGTGAGTACCCAGCCCGCGCAGCGAACCAGGCGACAGCTCCCCCAACCCGAGGGACCCTCCCCCGCTTGGCCACCGCCGCCCCAGTCGGTAGCCAGCCGTGGCGTTTCCTCCCCGCGCCTCAAGGACCCGGCGGCGGCTTTCGGTGTCGGCGAGGCGGGAAGCAGAGGCAACTTTCCTGGCTTGGCCCGGCGGGCTCGGGCTCTATTTATAGCGCCTGGAAGTGACGGCAGAGCTGCCCCGGCCGGCTGCCGCCGCCGTGTTACCGGGCGGATTGTGAGGCTTTGCATTGCTCCGGGGGCAGCAGACCAGACGGCGCTGCGGGTCCAGAGGGCGGCTAGCCCCTTCCCAGCCGGGCTGATCCCCGACCCCTTCGCCTCCCCCTGTCCCAGCGCCGCCCCTCCCAGCCTCCCCTGCTGGAGCGGGCTAACTCGGCCAAACCCCGCCGGCAGCCGCCTGCCAGCCGCGGGGCTTTGTTTGTAAACAGTGGGGACGCTTCGAGCCTTTTCCAAGGTCCTGTGGTGCGATCCGAGGCAGGCCGCGGCGCACAGACGCTGTGGGGATCGCTGCTGGGGCCGGAGGTCGCTTGGCCGGACTGCAGAGCCCTGACGGATTAGGATCCCCCCCTACCTTGCATGCAAAGCCCTGTGAAATCTCCCCCCTCCCCCACCTGCTGCTGCATAACAGTGCCCAGGGCTGAGCGCGGGCAGGCTGCAGGCAGAGCAGAGCGTTTTCCTTCTCGCTGCTGCGGCGTCTATGAAAAGTTACATTGTCCTGTAAGCCTCGTAGATACTGTTGCAAACGAAAAGCGGCACCATTTACGGAGGTAACTTTGCGCGCTGATACTGAGGATGGAAACTCATTTGCAAAACGAGCTTGAAATGGGAACAGACGAATAATCGCTTACTATTTAAAACTTTCCAGTAGGGAAACCAAGATCGATCTGTGGAGGTAACTTTCAGCTTAATTGTGTTTATTTTAGTTGATCTATACACTGGCTACTAAAAATCAGGAATGAGATTTAATAATTGTCGATTTGATATATTGCAGAGTGTTTGCTTGATTTGAAAACATGGAGCCGTATCTGATTAAATTGACTTTCCTGCATTTCTTTTTTTAAAAGAAAGTGTATTCGAATCTTAGTTTATGAACAGTGTATGTGTATTTAAAACAAAAAAACCCTGTCGGGCTTGTTGGTGCCAGACAAAACATTCATTTCCCCCATTTTTGTATTGAATGGATTAGGAGAGTGGCCCCTTAAATAGTCAGGTGCCTTGAGTTAACTATTTTCTACTTTATTTTATTTTTGTCATTACAATTCCTGGTGTGACTCTCGAGTTGATCTTACTAAGAGTGGTGGGAAAACTGCCTAGACAGTCATTCAACTGAATTAACTATTAAGTTGTCAAGAAACCGATATATTTTGGTTGACTTAATATATCTAACTTAGCTATGAATTTCTTAAAGACTGGGAATTTTAGTCTGTAGTTGCCTTGTTGCTGATGTAGGGGCCAAACTTAAATACATTTCAAATCAAGAATAGATTTCCTAAGTCTCTTTTAAAGCACGAAAGAGGAGTCAGTGGTTTACACACAACTCTATAAGGTAACCTCTCCAAAAAATAAGCTGTTAGGAATCACAATGAGAAATGCTGTGAAGATGGCATATTTATTAAATGTTAAAAGCTTTGAATAGCTAGCTATAGGTCAGCTGCTAACCTTGTTAAACAAGATTGACTAAAATGTTCAGTTACCTAGATCTGAAATTCAAGTACTCATGTCGGTTACCTGGTGGATAATAGTACTGTCCTTAGACTGCATCTGCTTTAACATGCTTCCTCTCATTGTTTGTTTACACATCCGGGAGCATGGTTGGGGACTGCCCACTTCATTACGATTGGCTGATACTTGGCTACCAAATTTGGACATCCCATTCAGTGATGTCATGCTGCTAGATGGCAGCAGAACTGAAATTACATGATGAAATATATGAATTGTAAGTTCAGATTTAAATGCTAAGTTTCTTTGTTCAAGAAGTTAACATGTTTTAAGAATTGTAAACGTTGTCAGCCTCCAATAACAGAGGGATCGAGAAGCAATGTCAGTAGATTGTAAATACCAAGGTGAAACTGAGAATTATCTTTAACCAATGTGATATATGCCATCATGTGCCAGCAATGCCCCCTTTGCCATGTACATTGGCCAAACCGGACAGTCTCTACACAAAAGAATAAATGGACACAAATCAGACGTCAAGAATTATAACATTCACAAACCAGTCGGAGAACACTTCAGCCTCCCTGGACCCTCAATTACAGACCTAAAAGTCGCAATTCTGCAACAAAAAAAACTTCAAAAACAGACTCCAATGAGAAACTGCAGAACTGGAATTAATTTGCAAACTGGACACCATTAAATTAGGCTTGAATAAAGACTGGGATTGGATGGGTCATTACACAAACTAAAAACTATTTCCCCATGTTAATTTTCCCCCACCTTTTTTACTCACACCTTCTTGTCAATTGTTTAAAATTGGCCATCCTGATTATCACTACAAAAGTTTTTTTTTCTCCTGCTGATAATAGCCCACCTTAATTAATTAGTCTCGTTAGAGTTGGTATGGCAACCCCCATTTTTTCATGTTCTCTGTGTGTGTGTGTGTGTGTGTAGATATATCTTCCTACTGTATTTTCCACTGCATGCATCTGATGAAGTGGGTTTTAGCCCACGAAAGCTTATGCCCAAATAAATTTGTTAGTCTCTAAGGTGCCACAAGTAGTCTTCGTTCTTTTTGCTGATACAGACTAACACGGCTACCTCTCTGAAACCTTTAAAATGTTAGTTTCTGAAGCTCCATCTCCTACACCACACCCTCCAACATTCACTCTAATACTTAAATTTATTTTGTTTTTAATGCTTTTGACTAGTAAGAATCATTCCTCTTAACTCTGAACCCTTTTGCAACTGGCCCTCTTATTTCTGTTGCCAGATAATTGTGCAGAGTTGAGCTATTAACCCATAAGCAGACATTTAAAGTATGTTTGGATACTGTTGAGATTGTTTGACTCCTAGATTTTGTCATGGTGTTTGTATGTGCTCATCAACACCAAGCATAGTTTATGCATGGTATCTAAGAGTTGTAACTTTTGACACTACCAGGATTCTATCACTACTTTTGATACAACCAGGAGGAAGGTAAAATGCTGAATATCTTTGATCCTGATGAATTTTATAAATATAATTATCAGTAACCTAGAACAAGCAACTAACTTTTGGAGTATCTTTAAGGCTAGTACTTCCTGAGTCATATATGCAATAGTTTAAAAGATGGTTAGACTGTACATATTTGCAGACTTATTTTCTTGTATTATGCTTGTGGTTATTCTGTAATCTCTTGCTTTCCAATCAAGAAAAGTACTTCAATATGTTCTTGGATTAATTGCTTGGTTTGGGACTGGGGGCTGTGTTTTCTAATTTTCATAATATGTTATGGATTCAATTTTATATTTTTCTCATTATATTTAGTGGCTTTTTTTCTTTTTGACAGCAGAGAAATAGAGTGTGTTGAGTTATTTCAACAGGGAAAAAATACACTGAAGTCATGTGGTTCCTGCATCTTGGCATCAGAGAAACCATTTCTATTTTAACTAGCAAGTAAAAGGTTTTGCTCTGAGGATTATTATTTAACTCTCTATCTTTTCCCAACATGATTTATATTTTAAAAACTAGTGACAGTAAAATTCAGAACTTTCTTAAAGTCAGTCAGCTAATGCCTTCAGGGATATAGATAGTAAGCCTATAACCTAATATTCAGTCCCCTTTTTGACAACAGTTAAAATAGCTTGAGTTGGTAAAGTGCTTTTATGACAAATCTTATAAAATCTGCCAATTTTAAAAAAATTCATTCCACCTAACATTGAAGTTATGAGCTGTGTATAATTTTTTTAATGAGGAAATCCAAAATAAATCAGGAGCAAATGGTATTCTTTACTAATCACATATTGAATGTGTGCCCTAAGGCCCCAGTCAGGATATGGGGAGCACTGTGTTGTGAATTGTACTAACACTCAAGAAGACCGTTCCTGTCTGGAAGGGCATACAGCCTAAAAGCCACAAGACCAGATAAATTGTTGGGGGGAGGGGGAGGGTTCAGGCTATATCATGATAGTTTACGTGCCTTTGTTACTTTGTGTTAGTGAGGGAGAATGGATGAGGGAAATAGATCAACAACACTCTTGAGGATGGATATGAAGAGTATGGTGTTATGGAGAGAGAAAGAAGGATGTCAGGGGAAATAAGGCTGTTAACAGAGACACAGTGAGGGAGGAGTTGGAAGGAGGAGAAGGCAAACAGCCAGTCAGAAGAGACTGAAAGTGCAGATCTGATGACATCACTGCTGTCCAGTAACTGTGAAAATGCATTGCTGCAGCTCCTGCTTCCCAGAGGCCGGCCTGCAAGTGGCAAGTCTTTCCATCAGAAGTTCCTGCTATTCCTTCCCTAAACCCATATTGCTGGAGGGAAGGGCACATAGAGGCTGTTGTCTTGAATTGCACAGTTTGGAATCTGTGTAAAACTTCTCATTTTTTGACTTCAGAATTCTGTGTACATTCAGATTTTCAGGGCAACCTGTGGGTCATGGTCTTGGCTAGACATTTGTGGTGTAAGTAGCAATAATATGCAATTGTCATGGTTCTTGACAATCACTGCAGTTCAGAGACCTGTGGGAAGCTGCTCTGGAAACTGACCCTAGACATGTTTGGTTTTTTACTTCTTGGCACAGTTATGGGCAGTAGTGTTTTTTATCTGGCACTTTTTATCTGCAGGCTGAGGAAGAGAAAATTGCATTGACTTAGTTCAGGTTTGGAAGTTTGCCTTCCATTTTTTTGAAGCAACGTATGAAGGACTACTTTATGAGATGCAAAAATCCTGTGGGGTCTCTCTTCTTGGAGATGAGAATATGGTTTTGCCAAAGGAGCCGTGGGAGGTCTTGGGAATGTTTGAGGGCAACACTTTTTAATTGAAGGGTTAAAATGTCAAGTCTCTAACAAAAGACTTCCTTTACTCAGTTTCCATCACTTGGATTTAAAAGGCATGAAACTCAAACTAGAGTTTTAAACAATCTGACTTTAGAGTAGAAGGAATATTTTTAAATTGGTTAACTTTCACTCTGTTACCTCTTGTAATGTCATTATTTCACTAGTTCTTCAGTCATCATCCTAAGAGGCCTGATCCAAAGCCCTACAATTTCTGTGTGTATTTTTTACTTTAGAAATTCAGATCCTGTTTAGTCTTAGAGACATGGGCCCTGATACAAAGCCCAGACAGTGTTTTTGGATTAGGCCTAAAGTCTCCAAATCTGAGGGGGCAGGGATATGGACAACTTTCAGGGCTTCTTAAGAGGTCATAGAGAAATGAGAGAGCAGAAGCCCCCCTGCCCTCCATTTGCAGGTTACCTTTAAAAATGAAATCTGCAGAAATTGCCTTGGTCCCCTCCCCCCTACCTGGGAAAGTGGATTTTTCAAGCCCTGGTGGGTTTTTGAGGGGTGGTTTCTTTCTTTGCATATACATTGCACTTATCCGTAGTAGCTTTCTATAAATAGACTTCTAATACTGTCGTTAGATCTTAAAATGCAGTGATATTTCAGGATGGCTATGCCGAGAGAATATAATGATGCCATAGTGATGTGCATTGTAATTAATCATGTATTGAAACTGACAGGAGTAGTGGCCTACAATAAAGAATTTTTTGACACAAATCCTTGTCACTGGCAAAGATGGGGAAAGGAAATATAAAAATGTATGACAACTTAATAGGTTTTTAGTAAAACATTTTATGTTGGGATTAGGTCTACAATATTGGTGTTTATCCATGTGTCTTATTTGTCTAGATTTATTTCAAATGTACCATCTTGGGCTCTGGATGCATGTTAGGCAAACTGTGAAATTAGTTACCTGCCAGATCCTTTCCATTCTTCAAACCTCATCTTTCTCCACTCCTGCCCACCCTTAAAAACTCTTGGGGAAAACAGGTAGGCCTTGTTATGAACAGAGGACATGCCCTTATTGGCAACATGTTCCCATTTAAAAAAAAAAAAAAAAAATGAAGTAATATAGACATCCCTCTACATTTTTGTTGAGGACTGTTTCCTTACAGTTAATTATACAAATAGAATTCTCTGAAGTCTTTAATTTTATAAAATATGCACCCATCCTTTTATTAGCTTGAGGTAAAAATTCAAAAAGAGCTGATGCGTGTGGTCTTTATACCTCCCGAAGCAGGCATTATATGTTCATATGGTTGTTTCTCAAGACAGTCTGATTTGTGATAATTTACTTATAAATTGCTTCCTTGAAGCAATCAGTGGAATACATGTAATTCAGGAGTGTAAACTTACATTTTGTGGCAATATGAGAAGTAAATCACCTTTCTGCATTTTGAAATGTTAACAATATTTCAGGTGGTGCCGCTTTTCCAACCGTTAACTAAAGCAGTTGAAAAATAAAATGCAAAGTTATGTAAGGGTGGGTGGGTGGCTTTAAATGGAAAACACATTGTCATGGTGGTCTCACATGGTTTATGCTTGATATCATTTGTTTCATTCTTTTGTCAAACCAAATTTCATTTAGACCTATACAAAAATAGTTGGAGTTTTAGGTGGTGGTTGATTATTTCTTCCATATAGCAGCTAGTGATTGGCTGATTAAACTTTTTGTTTGGGTTTTTTTGGTTCATCAATCACAGATGAACAAATCAATTTTAGTTTCCAGCTATACTTAGGCTACTGCTTTGTTATTAACAGGAAAGAGTAGACTTTTTTTTCTCTTTAACTCTCATATTATCTAGCTAGTAAACCGAACATGTGCTCTTTATTCTCACTTTTCATAAAGCTAATAGAAAAGACCAGAAGTACAGTGAACTACATTGGCACTTTTATTTCAATACCTCTGGTATTGATCCATTGTACCTGCAGCATAATGATTGGTGGCATAATAGGTGATCTTTTGTACAGCATCACTGAATTAGTAACCTTCATGCTTGGATTGTTCAGTTGCTTTGAGTCACGTAATATATTAAGTAATGTTTTAGTAAACAGATCTGTAGCTTGCAGATGCAAATTTTACTTTCAAGGTAGAAGATTATAGAAAAGTATAGCCTTCATTTTTTGTATATTTATATAAAATGTCACAGTGTATGTAATACGTTATTTCCTCTAAGGAGATCTGAGGATCAAGAATGTGTACAACATTTTGAACATAGAAAATAGAATTCTTAATATTTACGTGTAGGTTGTAAAATCTGTTCTCCGCTACTGAAATTTGTTAGATATTAAGATTTTGGTAGAGTAAGGGAAAAAAATAATAGTTGAAAGAACTGATTAGTCTTGGTGGACAGAAGACTGGTCTAAAAGGCTCTAACTTTGTAGCTGGGGAATAGTCTGATCTCAAAATAGTGCAAATTTTTGGTCAGGATTTTATTGTGTTTATGTATCACATTTGACTTCAAGTCCAGTGCTTGTGAAATGCCCTGGAAGTTGAAAAAATAGACACAACTCCCCACTGCCTGTGTGTTCTGGAGTTTAGCATGGGTTTATGAGTTTAGCAAGTGCAGGTTTCCCACACTACTTCCACTTCTTATTTTAGTGTCTACCAAAGTTGTTGAAAAGCTAGTTCAGTCTCCATCCCTTTTAGTACTTTGCCTTTCTGCTGAGACTGCTAAACAAAGATGTCCATTGCGTTAGTGGGTTTTGGAGTTTTTTGAAGGGGAGATGGAGGTTAAAGTTCTGAAATCCAAGAGAATAGTTGAATGTATTTATAAGATATTCCTGGCTTTTAAAAAGTTGTCTTCTCTGTTTACTTGCAGGTTGTGATTGTTTCTCTTGTGGCATCTGTGTGGAAAGTGCCACACACACTACAGAACAACAACGGCTTTTGCTTGCATTTTCCAGTGTTTTTTTTGTCAGCGAGTTCAGCAAAGTTGTAATTCTTCAAGTGCCAGCCCTGAGCTGAGTGAGGAGCCACCAGCAGAGATGGTAAAAATGACAAAATCAAAAACGTTCCAGGCTTACCTGCCGAACTGTCACCGAACCTACAGCTGTATCCACTGCAGAGCCCACCTAGCCAATCATGATGAATTGATTTCCAAGGCAAGTGATTTGTTTAGAGACTTCATGTGGGGTTTTTTAACCAAAATTGTTGTCATTGGGTCAGTACTTCCAATACATAAGTGGTATAAATCTGATGCATACTTCAAAGTATCTTCCCAAGAGCTCCATTCTTGGGTCATAGATGCATTATACTGAGGAATGGATGTTTTCTAGAAACTTCGTGTAAAGCCCCATCATCGCAGCCCCCCACGAATAACAGGTAGGTGCTACTTTTGAGATGTGCCTGATCTTTACCAGACCAGGACTAGATGTGATAAGTTTGCTAAGGAAGGAAACTGTCTGAGGGAAGTATAGAGCTCAGGATTGGGAAATTCTTCTTGTTAAATTGATTCAAAAGATTCATCTACTAGAGAGAGGTCACAAAATTAGCTCGTATTACACAATCCAGTGGATCAACATGAAGTCCATCACTACATTATCTAAGCCCTTCCTTCTCTCTCATTAGTATATACCATCTGGTTAATTTGTGGAGCTTAAAAAACTGATTACTCTGAGGAATGTTCAAGCTCAAGTTTAAATTTCATAAAGAAATTCTGAAGCTTTTGAAATGATCTAGCCCTGTCCTTTATATCAATTGTTGAAAGAAACTAAGACTCCATAATCATGTAGTAAAATTTAATACCGAGGGGAAAATATAAAGTGACGGTGCTTTAAGTCAAATTAGGTTTCTGATGGAGCACCCTGTAAATATTTTCTAAGGAAAAAATTCAATTCAATTTTCAAACTTTGGGTTGTTGTTTTTTAGTGGGTGTGTGTTGGGGATGGGGGAAAGGATGGGACTTTCTCTGCCGATAGTGTCTCTTCAACAGGTAGAGTGGTTGAGCCAGAGAACATCCTTCTTGAGGCCGTCCCTTATTTCTTCCCATCTTCTCTGTCCCCCACCATCATCACCCTCTGTTGCTCCTGCCTGCTGGTATCTTTAGCAGCATTGAAGTAAAGCTGCTTCCTTGAGGAGTCCCAGGAAGTAAAGAAGCCACTCCTTTTAAGTACCTTCAGTGTTCCCTAGTCCTCTGCAGAGGCCTGGGGAGTGAAGGAGGTTCCTTGGGCCACACACCCTTTTACCTGCACCTCAACCTTTTGTGCTCCTCAGCTCCATGTACATCTCCTGGGAGGAGATGACATTTCTGGCTCCAAACACAAATGCGAGCAATATTGCTTGTAGATATCCTCTTGCAGGCCTGCTCTTCTCCTCTTCCATTCCTCCTGTTCCTCTTCTCTCCTCCCCCCCCCCCCCCACCCCCCCCCCCCCCCCCCCCCCCCGCCCAACACAAAAAACACACACAAAAGAAAGGGTGAGTGATGTGCTGTGCTAATGCACAAAGCAGGAAGTGTGACTGATCAAATGCAAAACATTGAAACTGACTATATACAAAGTGCTGTCCAAAGCATACATTTATTAAATTCAGAAAAGATACAGGCTCTTTAGTTCTAGAAACCATAAATATTGCTTTTAAAAAAAACTGTAGGAAAATACAAGCAGAAATGTGACTCAAATTTTTTTTAATCACAAAGAAAAATATTAAGGTAAGAATCACCTTTTCTTCAACAACACTCCAATATAAATTTCAAGAAGGAGACATGACTTCATTATTCAACACACACTGTAAGTAAGTGGAAGGTTAGATTTGAATAATTGAGGGGGGGAATGTTTTCCAGATCTGTGGAGTTACTGGGAATTGTATTTCATACTAAACAAATGGAGGAGGAGTATGGCAAACTTTACCAGCAAAGTTCAGAAAGAAAACTAGAACACTGAACTTTCAAGAAAAAAAATGAGATCCACCACATGTGGTTGGTATCTACCTTCCCATCCAGTAGACTTTTCTAAGGTAATCTAAATGTGATGCAACAAGCTCTTTAGTTTGACAGTATTAAGGTTTACCATAATTCCCAGACAGGCAGATAGGTATAAAGGTTTTGAAAGAGGTCTTGATAATAAGAATATCTCTTGAATATATGCTCCAGTTAGATCATAGGGTCGTACTACAACTTTAAATTGTCTAGAAAGGATTAAAAACCTGAGACCGTAAAACTTTGAAGAGGGGTTATTGAGCATATGGAGATTTAAAAAAAAAAATCGAAGTCCTGTGTGTTCAGATAAATTTAGCCTAAGAAATGTCTTCCAGACAGGAAGGATTCAGGTATATAATATAAAGTCTCTTGTTTAATACTGGTTTCCTATTCTCCAGTGAAGGTTTCTCTAAACCAAGCTACCAAACTTTTAAATGTTTGCAGATTGGCAAGTCAGCAAAATCACATTTATGGCCAATGTTCCCTAAACTCTGAGTTTCCTGCCTTTTTTTATGTTGTCACAATCTGTTGGTATATGTTGTGTGTCAGATCTAGAAATGCATTAAATGTGAGGTATTTTTGCTTGTAAATAAAAATGTACTTGATTCTTTGCTGCTTTCTGACATACTGTACTGCTATAGTTGGGACCTGGGCAATAAAGGCAAATGAAAGGGAAAATGTTCAATTATTTAAAGCTCAGCATGTGTGAGAGAGAGACTTTGTAAGAGTGCATAGACAAATATAATGTTGTGTGAACACTTCTACATTTGAGGGGGGGTTTCTTTCAGCACAGAATATTAATTCCTAATGTGGAATCTTGTAACCTGTAAGCCTCTACGACACATAGTGCACCCACTGGAAAAATGAAGAGTTCACTACTAACTTAAAAAAAACAACTGTAATTGTACTGTTAGAATTTTAACCTTCAATACTATCTTAAAACAGACCATTAACATACTTGAATGATATATTTAGGCACTGTATTTAGAATTATACCCAAGTATAATTGGTAGTTGTAACTCTGAATTTTCTTCTGTCATTCTTGCAAACTGTCCTTCCTTCCTGGATCTCCTGTTCAATGTAGTGCCCTCTTAAAACATGTATTCATTAAAAATAATGGGAACATGAATATATCTGGTGTGTGTGGCAACAGTTGAAGATATTTTAAACAAAAAAATACTTTAAATAATAAAAGGCAATGGGGTGATTCTGTACTCCAGAGACTGTTGGTATACATTTGCCATCTGAAGCAAAAATATTTGACTTTGATTGTATAGAATTGCAATAAATAAATATGCTGTACTGCAGTCTATGAATTGTATTGAAGAATAGTACTTTGAAATCCAAAGAAAAGAGTGCATGACTTAAAGACCAACCATTAAAATTGTCACTTCCTCATTAATAGAAAACTAAATGTAAGCTATCATTTTATGAATACTACTCAGTTGTGGATATAACATAAGAGATGTTAGACTGTTTAGATTAGAAGGAATAATAGTTTAACCCTTATGCTGTCTTCTCCAACATTTCTTTTCTGAGAACATATTTTGAAGTGATCCATGGGAAGCATGTAGATGTTTGTGCTGTCTTAGCATGTATTAAAAAAAGACTGTAAAGGAGACCTTGTAAACCCTCCCCTGCTGGTTTTTTGTATTGAAATTTTCTGGTTGTGACTTTCTGTTCTTTCTTAAGTACTAGAACTCATGGGATTATGATGTTTCAAGAGACTGAAACAAGGAAATTGGTGATGGGGAGAAGATAAATCGCTGAACTTTTTTTTTTCTTTTTTCTTTTGAGACTTATTTTTAACTTTAGAGAAAAGCTAGCCTAGCAAGAGATTCTGTCTCCCTGTTGCTTCTGTTCAGGGCTACACAATCCTACTCCAGATTGCTTGTTTTCCAAGGCTTCCTCAGTGAAAACAGGACAAGCGAGACTTGATAATCCAAACACAGCACTTTCTAAACTGCTCTGTGGTGCTGGTGGCTCTTGTTTCCAGCAGAGATAAATACTTGTTAGAGGAGACTGTGAAATGTCTTGTCCTTTTTAAAAAAATCAAATAATTAAAGACAGCTATACAGTAACTCCTCGCTTAACGTTGTAGTTATGTTCCTGAAAAATGCGACTTTAAGCAAAACAATGTTAAGTAAATCCAATTTCCCCATAAGAATTAATGTAAATGGGGGGGTTAGGTTCCAGGGAATTTTTTTTCACCAGATAAAAGACCACACACACACACACACACACACACACACACTCACACACTAAGTTTTAAACAAACAATGATGATTGTGAAGCTTGGTTGAGGTGGTGAAGTCAGAGGGTGGGATATTTCCCAGGGAATGCCTTACTGCTAAATGATGAACTAGCACTTGCTGAGCCCTCAAGGGTTAACACATTGTTGTTAATGTAGCCTCACACTCTACAAGACAGCACAAATGGAGAGAGGGGAGACAGCATGGCAGACAGAGAGAGACACCCTGTGTGTGAGCAAAAGAGATATGCATTGCTCCTTTAAGTACGCTGACCCCACTCTAAGTACATTGCCTTTTTAAGTAAATCAGCAAGTTGAAACAGCAGCTGCTGCCAGCAAGCTCCCTCTGTCCTGAGCCCTGTCATGTCCCCTCTGCTCTATGGACATGGGGTAAGTGGGAAGCAGGGGACACCCTGACATTAGCCCCCCTCTTCCCCACCCCCCTTGCACAGCAAGCAGGAGGCTCTGGGGAGCAATTCCAAGGCAGAGGGCAGGAGCAGCACATGGCAGTGGGGGAAGGGACAGCTGATAGCCTGCTGGGCAGCTGCTGCACAGGGAACTTAGGGGAGTGGGGAGCTGATAGGGGGGCTGCCAGTCCACCTTGGTTCCAAGCCCCCACCAGCTAGCTCCAACAGGCTGCTCTTTCTGTAAGCAGTGGACAAAGCAGGTGGCTGCCAAACAATGTTATAAGGGAGCATTGCGCAACTTTGAACAAGCATGTTCTCTAATTGATCAGCAACGAAACAACGTTAACCGGGACGACTTTAAGTGAGGAGTTACTGTATTTAATTTCCTATTACTTTTTCATAGGTAATCAATTATTATAGCTTCCACAGTAATGCTTCTTAATACAAAATGGGAGGGAAGGTGGTCCATGCTATGAAACAGGGATCCCTACTCTAAGGTGTTAGAGTGCCGTGATGGTAGTTATAGTTTT